GTTTGTGATTTTATTTGGGGGGGGGGTGTCCTTCAATGTTACCTATAAATATGACCATATATCCAAATGTGTTCAATTGGATATATCCATTCAGAGTTGGAGTGATGATATTTATGTGCCCCTTTTTTATTCCAAAGAACTTGTTAAGTCAATTTTCTAGTCAGTCCATTATTACCAAAAACTGCATTTGAACTCTTGACTTCTGCAGGCATAGGTTTCATGATAAAGTTTTACTAGCCCTAACCCCTGTAGGGTGTATGTAAAAATCATATTGAAATTGAATGACTTGGGACTGTTAAGGTTGAACGACCAAAATTGGGGCATTTGCTGTGACTTGTTCTTTTTCCTTGAAGCTGTGTGTCTTGTCAAAAGTGAACATTTGAAAACGTAAGGACTAAAGTAATTACATGAAACTGTTAGCTTGTAATAGGAGCCAAAACGATTCACTGTATTTTTTTACAATCATAGATTTAACTTGTAACCAAAATTACAAAATACCTAAGTGGTGCAAACTTTCTTCTAGTGCTATTTTTTTCTTTTTTGAGATAGTTTGGTGTGTCTTTCTGCACTTGCCCTTGACTGCTTAGATTAGTCAGTTAATCCTCCATACTCATCCTATAAATACTATCAATTTTTGTGAAATCCACTACCACATGAAAAAAAATATTCTCTTGACATTCCAAAAAAAAAGAAGAAAAAAAAGCAGAAACCTGTGACACATGGTTTACCAAAACAAGTTTGATCAAAATGATATGTTGCAATCCTGACAAGCAGACAAACACAAGCGATCTTGAACGGTAACCTTCATTTGCACAATGCATTATCACACCCAAGGTACCGGTTGCAGTGTACCTGCAAGTTTTCTTTTTTGGGAGAGAACAAAAAAGACAACTTGCAACAGAAGTTGGAGACAGTGTGCGGCCAGACAGTCATGGGGAGAACGTTCAAATGCCCCGACAATAGAGAACTGCAAAGTCCTTTATGGTCCTGGTGTGAAAATGGGAGAGGTGTACGGGTGTTGTTGAATTGGGGATGGGAGGGTTCTCACAGGCCAATGCCAAGTGTATGATAGTGGCTAACACCCTCTAGACTGGCTGTACATGTTGGAGTGCACATACATGTAGCTCTTTTGGTATTTGTAGCCAATGGACGAGTGGTTTTAGTCCCAGCTGAAGTATGCACGTGTTGTGGCTGAACTGGTGTTAACCAGGATTTTCTCAACAGCCTACTCCAACTATCTCTCCATTTTGTTGACATGGTCCAAGATGGACTTTTTGCTTGCATTTTCAAAGGGTGTTTTTGAAGTTGCCGATTGTTACAGATACTGGCTGTGGGACTCTGTACCTTCAAGTGTTGGTGCTGGTTGTGGTGGATGCACTTCTGTGCTCTGAAGACCCTGATATGCTGTGTGCTTTGGAAAGAGCTCTCTGCCATGCAGGTGTTTTGTTAACTGGGAGTTTTGTCTTGGCCAGGCAAATGCATCATAAACATTTACATTGTATAAGTCAACAAGTGCTTTGTTGCTCTTTTCCCAAGACTCAATCTTCTTAATGAATAAACAGTGCAAAGCTGTTACTTGTCTGTTTATCTTGAACATCAAGGCACAGTTCATCTGCAGAGACAGTGGACGGATGTCCTGCAAGTCAACAAGTTCTGCATTTTGCTCTTCTGTGACTGGCTTTGCAAGCAACATTTCTTACAGCATTCTTCATTGGGAGCAAACAGTTGGCTAAGTTTTGTCCAATTTTTGATTGAAGGAAAACCAGAACAGAGGTCTGTATTGCTTTACACGGATTTCGTGAAGTGGTGTTACACGTGGGTGGAAAAAAAAAACGATGACCCTTTACGTGAAGTCTCAGGCACGTTCTTCCCGGCAGATCCGTGGGACTGCGATAGTTGGCCGAGGAGAGGGAATCCGGTGGAAAAATTATGGATTTGTGCACAAGAAAGGGTAGGATACTCTTCAGACTTTTGCTCTAAACTGCATCGATGATGAAATTTAGTAAGATAGAATTGTCAACTTCCTTTGCTTGCACAGATCTACATGTGCACGCAATGCTTTGAGCACATACTGGTTTACATTTTTCAAAATTCACCAGAAAATTTGGGGTGAATTTTCAGTACATAATTACAGGATATTAGCAGGTACAGCTCCGCCACTCGTGAGTTGATATCAAAATTGTGAGTGTGAAGAATGCACCATTGGTTTCTTCTTGAGTGGAACGTATGTGGTTTCAGTGAGCTAGATTCCTAGGATAACAGGCTGGGGACTGTTGTTATCTGGTTCGTACAGTGTAAGTGTGACGTCACTTCAGTTTAAACCACGCCCACTGCACATGCACTGCACATAGAGTTAAATGCATTGATCACCATTTACATGGAACCAGAAGTTAACGTGCAACTTCAGTGATTGCCCAATAGGAGCCTGCAAATTGTGGCGTGTTCGCCTTTATGACAAAATCACTTTCGAACCGGATTCTCAATTCTCAGCCCAAATTACATGTAACTACATGTGTTTTTTACTATTCACATGTATAAAACATACTTTGGTCTATATGACAGTTAAGGAGAAAATATTGAGAAACCACTTGACCAGTGAAAGATACAGATTTTGTACCCAAAAAAGAAGCATGTAGTGAAGACTGAAGAACACCCATGAAAAAAAATATATATCTTACATGATCGTAACAGGGAAGAAAAGGCTTTTACGTGTCTACACTGAAAATGTAAAAAAATGTCAAAATCCAAATCCAGAACAGATTTAATGTATGTGGATTGTCCCTTGCCCTCCCAGGAAATTCCACAGATTTGTCAGTTGTCACGTTTTACATGTATTTCCTTTGAGGACACTCTCTTGACAAGGTTTCAAGAAGTTACATGTCTTTATTCAGCCAGAGGCTGACAATCAGCTTTCGAAAATCTCAACCAACTTTTTCCCGAGCCGAGAATCAATATGTTCCACGTAATGGTTACTAATAGAAGGATTAGTGGTTGCATGCTGTGTGCTTCTTGAGAGTTTAATCTTCTAAATCTCCTTTGATCTGCCTGAGCCCCGAAAGGAAAAGAGGAAATGAAAGGAAGGGAGGACACTGGTTCATTCCATTCTCACAAGAGAATTCAGTAAAGCACTCCCGTGTAGTTCATTTTATAGCGGCAATTGTTAGAGGTGCGCATGAACATATGTCATGTTGGCTGCATGACGTTGCTTATCGGCTTCAAATGAATGTTCAGTGTTTACACTTTGAAACCCATGTGTTTTCCATCACTTGGCAGTTTACTCAATGTTGGTCTCAGGAGCTTCTAACTTGACATGTCACGTAAATCATAGAGTGGTGTCTGAGAATTAATATGTCCATAAAAAAAGAGCTACTCTCACAAAAGATGACATATGTACACATGCTTATTTGAAATCTACCATTGAATTCCAAGGCTGTGTGTTGTTAACGTTAGGTTTATTGTCTTCCATGAAGGCTGGTTCACATATGAGAATATGATTTAAGAGTAAAGTGAATTTGACATCACCACGAAGCTGTCATGGAGCACAGTGGCAAACCTTACAGGAGTCGGAATGAATTCAACCAACCTGCACGAATGTGCTGCATAAATATCTCCCCTACTATGTGTCAAATAGTTGTTCCAGAATGCTTTGCTTGTCTCAGTGACGGAAACTTAAAGCCAAGGATGACATCCCATTATACATGTCACTGTTGTGTTCTCAAATCAAGATGTAAATCATAAAAATGAACCTTTGTGCCACCCTCTCATCAAATATTGCGGTCCTATTGTTTGCATCATAGCAACAACCAAGGTCAGGTACCATTTGCCCTACCAGGGGGGACATTGTTTACCCTTTTGTGGGCACTACACTTCCACAAGGCGGTAAATCAAGCAGAAATGCCCATGCAGGGAATATGAAGAGTAAATCAAATAATTTAGAAAAGAGTTACAAGTACTTTTACAGGGGACGTCTTTGGAAAAGCTTTCAACAACAATTTTTCTCCTTTTTGGGGGGGTTGGGGTAGGATGGGGTGGAGGGAGGGATGGAAAACAAGACTAAAACTTTTTTTGTTCCAAAAAGAGACGTATGATTTCATCAGTATCCACAGGTGGTTAGTTCACTAGTCTTTAAAATGAAGTAGGCCTGCCTATGTCAAAGGAAATTGTAACTGGACCCCCCCTTGTGGATTTAGATAATAGGGGCCTAAGCTAATTTCTTTGAAGTGCATGTACTTAGCAAAAATCAGATGCAAATTGGTTTCTGGTATGATGCTATGTTAAGATAACCTGTTTTAGGTTCATTGTAAGCAGTTGTGTTTAGCAGACTTCTACTGGTTACTCCAAATGGAAGCAACACCGGTGTCAGTTGAGGAATACTCTGCATCTGTCTGCTATTCCTGTTTTGGGTGCCAGTGAAGGTTTTTTTGTGCAAAGCCAAGCCAAATTGCCTCATTTGAAAACAAATTGAATGTTTGGCATTGAGGAGGATTGTTTTGTCTCGCTGGTCCCCCCTCACTACCTGCTGACCAATCTCAATTTGCCTGAGGAAAGGGAAGTGTAGATCACAAGTCACTTGGACGATTATTGACAGCAGCAGAACCCGGGAGGTCCCTCGGTGTTTTCATGGCTTCTTAAACATTGTCAGTCAGGAATTCTTGTGTAACAACATCTGGGAACTAAATAGAGAAGAAATGGAACTTGATTGACTGAAAAAGAAAAGCCACTCATACACCAGCCCTGACAGCACGAAGGAAAATTTCCTGGTGAAATGGCTTGTTTGCAGCGGCCTAAATTCTTGCCGATTTAGCTTTTCCTCATTCCTTGTGGGATCACATTATTCAGACTTGTGCATGGAGCCATTTCTACTGTGGAGCTGTCCAGTATGAAGTGTTGTCTTCACAGTGTGTTTCAATCCTGGTGTGACAGGTATTCAGAAGTACTGTCCTCACAATTTAAGTTTGTAAGTATTAAAGGGTTTTTCTTTCCTTTTTTTTATCTTGCAGTATTGATGATAGCAGCTCCATAAGCAGTGGGATAAGTGACACCATCGCTGAGATCAGCACGGACGAGAACATCACTGGTTCTTCCATCAGTTGCTCTTCCTCCCAAGCTTCCTGCAACCTCCTCACCAGGGACGGGATCAAGCGAGGCCGGGCCTCCTCTGATGACAGCCGTTCCCCAGGCAGCTCTGCCCGCAACTCGTGCGAATCGGGGAAGAACTTGGAGATTTTTGGGGACGGTGGAATACCAATCAACAGTGGGAAATCCTCACCTCAGCGACGGACTCTTGACGATGTGCGACGGAAAAATGGCGAGAGTTCACCTCGCAGAAGCGCTCTGAGTAAGAGTATCCTAAAAGAAGCCACAGCTGGGGGGCAGTCTCCAAAACGTAACGGCAGTGGGAAGAACGGCAAAGGAACCAGGAGTGACCAGGGCAAGGGCAAGAGGTCCAAGGGAGACACATGTAAATCAGACCGTGAGAAAGGACAGAGCAACATGAGTGGCTATCCAGAGAGAGGCACGCTCGCATCACCAACAGGACGGACTGGCATCCCACCTCCCCCAAGCTGGCAGCGCAGCTTGGACCGCATTCAGGTCCGGCAGACACAGGCTGCTAGGCATGCTGACCCCAGCCTCTCGCCAAGCCTGCCGCGGTCACGAACTGGAGGGATCAAGTACGACAGTGGATCGGAAACGCTGGATCGCAGAAGTGGTGCCCGGCTCAGCCAGAGAAACAAAGATGAACAGGAAATCCCAGGTGCTCATGACTCTCGGAAAATGGCATCAGGCCGAGCTGTGGGTATGCAGGGCTTTGGTTTTCGACCAGGCGCCTCAGGCTCTGCAACCACTCCTGGAGGTAAGACGGCCATCACACCTTCAAAATCTGGTAACTTTGGATTCCCAGGGAGCAGTGGAAAGTCTGGCCGGGTAAGTGGATCGCTCAGTGGCTCAGAATCTGCACCAGAGAGAAGCAGCATCCGAATGAAGTCCGGTCAGAGAGCTGGGCAGAAGCTGGGGCAGAAGACAAGCCCAACGTCCCCACCAGGTGGTAGCACAAAAGCTGACGTGAATTCCAATACAGAACTCAAGAAGAACCAGAGGAATCAGGAGAAAGGATTACTCTCCCCGACCGGGTCGGAAGCTGGCAAAGCCAAGCTGGGCGGTAGCAAGTCTGGCCTCTCTTCCAGCCCTTCCCTCAAGCAGCTGTTCGGCCGTAAACCAGAAGGAGCCAAGACCCCAGGGAGTGCAGCCCAGGATACCATCATCTCCAACCCCCACGCCACACTGGCCAAACCAGGGACGTCCCCTCCTCGTCACCCTCAGACGTCCACCCCAACCCAGTTTGTGCCAATGAGCGCTGCCCGACGAGCCTCTGCCAACATGTCGGCCGACCTGTCACTGACCAAAACTCCATACTCGGATGCCTTGCGCTACAGTGGCTACCTAAGCGACAGTTACTCAGGAGCCCGTGATAGCGGGCTAGGATCCCTGCATGCCGGGATGATGGGTCCTTACGCCCGTGGAAACATGCACCCCAGTTCCCTCTCCACCCTTAACAGGTCGGAGAGTGGCAGCATGGAGTCCCTGGACTCCAACAATTCCAGCTCTCTGTCCATGACGAGTCGTGCCACCAGTGAGCGCTATGGCTTGACCTCTCCATCTTCCAACGGACCGTCGCCCCATCACAGAGCACAGCCAGACAAGATGCTGAGCATATCCTCCCTATCGGGCAAGGATGCAGAGGAAACAGCCTGGCTACGAGCCAACGGTTACCCTACCACAACTGACGGGGCTCCCCCACTCTCACCAGCCAGCTCCACTGCTTCTCAGCCTGTCGGCCAATTCTTTGCCATACCTGGCATGAACCAAAGGTAGGAGCAATGAAAAACCTTCATCAATATATTTCCTATGTACTAGTTATTAAACTACAATCTACAGTCTGAGGACCATGTCACAAGAAGAAATATGCAGGTGCCTGGTTCCAGGCAATCTGCGAGAAGGAAACAAAAGGCAGACGTGAATGTTTTGTTCTACCCATCTGGCCTTCAGCTTGCAGTGCATCTGCATGTCTCCCAGATGACTGTAAAAAACACCTCTTGTGACTTGGCCCTTATTATTAAATAAATGTGATTAAGGTCATCCTTTCCAAAACTGCAAATACATGTAATTTGCCTGTTTGAAAAGTTCCCTTCTAAAATCGTTATCAGGAAAATGATTCAAAGGGTTTCCAGTTCTCAAGTAAAACCTCTATCCTTTGTTGCCGTGGCCTCCTAGAGAAAGCAATTGTGACTGCTCCAGCAACTCTCACCTGTTGGTTCTCTGCAGTCTGCTACTCCAACGCATCTCCACGATGCGCTCGCTAATGAGTCTTGGCTCGCAGTATCGGTTTGAGTAGTGAGTGTGGCATCCCTAGCACTGCATGAAGCATTAGGGAAGCCTGAGAAACGTGGCCGAATGTTTATACTAAACAGCTGCATTGCTACGCAGGCCTGAATGACGAATTGTAGGTTTTTGTTCTGTGCATCTTGAAAAGTTCAGCATGATGTCTGGGCAATCACTTTAACACTTCCTTAAAGAATGTTGCACGAACATGTCTGTTCCCAAGATGAAATACAAAAAGTGCATCCCTAAGAAAGTGCACGAGAAAGCAAAAAAAAATATTCTCAACTATTGAAGAGTGGAATGTTGATTGCATCATTATTGCTTATCCACAATATAAAGTTTAAAGCTGTGTAATTATTACTCCATCATACAGATATGGACCAGCAGAAATCAATGTTGGAGGGGATTTAATGATCTTTCCATTTGTAACAAACTGAAATTGCCTCCAAGGTTTTCTGTTCAAGTTTTCTGTGTCACACCATGATTCCATATTGTGTATCTCCCTTCTCCCCACACCAGCAACTCTGCCATGGTCCGGTCGAACAGCATGTCAGCCAGCAGCTACAGCCAGGCCGCCTACGGCAACAATCCCCGCTTGCGCAACAACAGCGTGTCGCTGGATGAGCGCCAGCGGGCGGCACTCAGCATGGGAACATTTTGCCGCGACCAGGACGGTGAGCTGCACGGTTCGGCGCTGTCCCTGATGTCTCAGGGCTCCTCTCTCTACGGTGCCATACATGTAAGTCAGAGTGGGGTTTATGGAGGAAAGGCGGCAGAAGTCAGATTTCTGGAGAATATTTTGCCCCTCTCTATATTTGCACACAATGTAATCTACCTTTGACTAATTGTATAAAAAGTGCATAGATGCGTTCAAGAATCATTGAGTGACAATGACTAATTTCTGTCGTGTGGCAGAGGAGACCAGGCGGGACCAGCAGCGGACGCGGAGGGAGGGCTCCCCGGGCCGGCTGTTCTGTAGCAATAAAATGAGGAATTTAAGAAAAATTTACTCTAGTCAATGTTCAGCATCCGCCAACAGGTGTACAGTGTATGCATTAAACATCTGATTTACTGTTAAATCACAAAATACCAGAAATGAACATTAATGTGAAGAAGTATTGCCAGCGTGCATTGCAGTCATTTGAAGTTTGTCCAGTATGGTCAGTTGGCTTCTCTAGTACAACCATTCCAGTCATTGGTTTTGACTCAAATTAGTGAATTTGCCTTTCTCTCTGCCGTACATGCACTCTCAAAGACAATCCATTAGTACCATATGAAGAGCAGTGCCCCCTGCCTTTTGCATCAACCTACAGTATCTGTCACGTAATGGATGCCAGCTGCAGTTCGTGCTGGTGAATGCCAAGATTTGGCTGAAAATATAATAAGACAGTGAGTGCACTTCCCCACGATCTGATAACCTGTCCGACACCCCATTTGGATTCTTAGCTGATAAATTCTTTCATCTTTCCATGTGCTGTTGGTAAAAATGGAACAAAACTTACCCTTGTTTTTTTTTTGTTTTCACCCTTATCAGCCGGATGACAAGGCCAATGAGATCCGTCGCTTGAAGCGAGAGCTCGACCGAGAACAGGAGAGAGTGGGGAACCTCTCCAACCAGCTCAACACAAATGTAAGTCCGTTTTGCATCCTTCTGTCGGCTTTGTGTACTTAAACGTAGCTGAGACTAGATAGAGCGCTGAGCAAAATGTAAAAGAAAACGTATGCTCTGTATGCATGTGTGCACCAACTAGTGTGGACTTGTGAACAAAAGATGTCCACATGATGCAGGAAGGGAAGACGTTTTGTTAAACTTATGTCCACAGGATGTTTCCCCTTCTCTGAAAAGTTTAGAGGCATTTTGGGGGTAGGGTTGTCCGTCGTAAAAGGAAAAGGAACAGTCAAGGAAACATTTTACAAAAATCTAGCTGAATATCGTGTTCCCGATTAAAGAAATGTGAGTATTTTCACCGAGATTTCTTAACTGCATGAAAACAAAGGGGTGTCCACACTAGGTACCGGTATGTAATGTTCATGTTTGTGTGGGTGTGTGTGAAAAGTAAACTTATGACTACTCAGTGAAGAACTTATGACTACTCAGTGAAGAACTTATGACTACTCAGTGAAGAACTTATGACTACTCAGTGAAGATGCCAATATGCATTATAAGTTTCAATTTTCCCAACAGTGGACACACGTACCAGTTCTTAGTGAAAACTAATTTGAATTGACTTTTTCAACGAGGCAATCCATGGCAACATCCAGGGATCAAATTTAGTATGTTTTCATGGACTTGCACCACACAGGCTTGTTACAGTGTCACAGATTAACCTTTGACATTTGGGCATTTGAGGCTCAACAGTTTCTGCAGATTGCCAAATGGTCAAAAGAGCAAAACCATTGAATGGAAAATTACAGAGTTTTTATCTCAAGAGACAAAGAGGGAACTCCAACCAATTTTTGAATGTTTGATTAGGCTCAGCAGCTGGTCTTCATGAAAGCCAGGAAGGACAGGGCGTTATCAAGATCAACTGATCCCAAATTTCAGTTCGTCACAGAATTAACAATTATGATACTGATGAAATCCTGGTTGTAGAACTGAATGTTTTGTAATTTGATGTTGTCTTATGAGAGTGTGGAGTAACGTTTACAGAGATGCTGAAGCTGAAAAATGTGTTTTTTTCTTCACAAGCCTTTGGGGGCAAACACTGAGTGAACAGTGTTACAATACAATTTGGGCAGGGCAAAAATCCATCCTTAGAAATAGTTGTTCGCGTTACCTGCTGCTACATCTGACTCGAACCAGCCAGCAGACACCGGGAAGCTGGGTGGTCTAGACGTCTGCACAAGTAAACTGGAAGACGAGGGATCGAGTCCCACCCGAGTACACTTGTGTTGTTTTCACAAGCCTTCGGGGGCAAACACCGAGTACAAAGTGCTATAATGCCAGACACGTTGGGCAGGGCAAATATCCAAAATTAATTAAAGAAGTCTTCAATGCAGCAGATGAGCTTCCTCACGGGTTCTGACAAGTGGGGGCTTGCCACACTGTCCAAGCAGATAATCCTTTCATGAGAGAGTCTAGTTGAAGAGCACCCTCTATTGTGCGATGGTTGCTAGTTCTTTAAAATGTCTGTGAAAGCCATTTGACTGCTGCCCTCTGCCTTCATTCTTTAAGTTGGATTTTTTTTCTTTGCTCAGAATGGTTGACCAAGGTATTTGCTGCCCTCTGTTGAAATCTGATATAGCATAATTCAAATGTAGCAGTGCCATATTTTAGTGAACGCTTGAACTCTTGAAGTATTTGTATTCCAATTGAATCCATTAGACTCTGCATGTTGCATATTTGTCATTACTTTGGTTTATAAAGGTAACTTACATTTCCATGCTCTGAACATAGTTTAAAATGTCTGAGATCACTTGCATCTCATCACAATCATTAAGTCCAATGATTTTTTTAACCTCATTAATTTCTTTGTGTTGGAAAAGCCTATTTTAAACATGGGAGGTGTCTTTGCAGTGACGAGTTTCTCTCGGGAGTTTTTAACATAAGTGTGTCCCCCACTGGATGCCCACAGACTCCATTAGGCAATTTGTATTCCGGTCTGTAATCTTGTTATGCAATCATACAATATTTATCGAGTTGACCGATGCTATTGATTAGGGCATCTCATGTCCCCATCTGTGCAGGATTTATGTAAGTGTTGGGCTATGATCGGGCTGGGGAAGTGTGGACGGATTCACGATTCAACAACTGCAGGTGGCTAGGATAATTAATGTGGCAGGCTTCATTAGTGACACTGGGGCAAGCGCTGCTTAGGAACTGTTGGAATGGATATGGAGAACCAAGCATTATTAGGCCATAAACTGACAAAGAGCTGTGGAAATTCAGCTGTGTCACACCTGTCTGTGCTTGCAGGCATGTGTGGACCAAACCCCCTCAGTCTTCCAGTGGGACAATGGAATGTGCACGTATTTCCCTGGAAATAGAGGCACTTCCAGCAAATTAATAAGTTTCGCTCTGTGATTTTTTTCTCCCACCTCTATCTTTTCTCCTTTATTCCGAAGTGTTGTGGAACAGTCCTGCATGTGCTGATTGTCTGATCTCATTTTTTTGTTCCTTTCAAGAAGCTTAAAGTGGTGTGAAGGAAAAGAAATTAAGGTGTTTTTTGCTGTGTTATTAAGACTTGAACACCTATAATTTGACCATCCTCATTCTAGTTCAAAAAGGTTTTTATTCAGAACAGGAGTTCATATGGACCTGACTTTATTTAGAACCATTTCGATTGTTGTCCAGAATGACATCTTACAAAAGACTATTGATTAAAATTAAAATCTCTGCATTCTTATGTAGTTTCCATGTCCTCCTTCAAAGTAACCCTTATTCAGAGTTGGTTCGTGACTTCTGGCTAGTTATTACCTAGAAATTATTGTACTGTAAAAAAAAAATTATGTGAAGAAACCCCTTTGGGGGAAGACATTTTTTTCTGACTCGGTTAACATAGATCTTGAAGATTTCATGAAGGATCTGATTGCAGACATTAGATGTATTCTGATAAGACATGGTACACAGAGTTCCATCCTGCCAAATTAATTCCTGGAGACATTAATCTGGGCCCATCTATCAGATTAGGTGACGGGACACTGGGTCTGCACTGTCGCCCCCCCCAACCCTAATTGAGTCAGGCAGGTTTCCACTGAATTGATGCTGGTTTTTATCGTGTGAAGCACACTGTGGCGGTCAGCGTTTGAAGACGCCCACGAGCACTTCACAGGTCTGTTTCGTGGGGCATCACTAATTCTTTGGACCGAGAAGGTGTTGCATCATATCGAAGCTGTTCTGAAAAACATAAATGCAGAAATTAAATACTCACTGTTAGAACAACACACTGTTTAGGGAAAGGACAACAAAACATTAAAACTCATATAATGTAGTTGCAAATCTTCGGCCTTCTCATTCTGCTTTGGCAGGATGTGTATTGTGACAATTTTCTTTCGGATAGCTTAAATTCACTACATGAAATACAAACTATTGACAGTACAGTTGTGCAGTTAGTATAATATTTTTGCCTTTCATTATGAGAACTGTTTGAAGTAGTGTCTGGTTTTTCTGCCCTTTTCAAATACATTGTTTTGTTTTTTTTCATCCTCTTCTCCAACATTTGTCTTGGGCAGTGGCTGCCCAGTTTGTCAGATCAGTGCCTATAAGTCCATCCATAATTCAACCTTGGAACCTTCCCTGTCCCACATGTAGTTCAGATAGCCAACTGTCTCCCCCTAAACCCTCATGCTAATATTTCTCCCTCAAGAGATGTGATCAATTATCTCGAGTTGGTTCTCGAATGGCAAACAGTAATGCATTCTCCGAATATCCCATATTTGAAACCTCTCACAGTTTGGAACAGACAGTGTAGGAACACTCGACACGGTTTTTATTTGCAAATTGGAAATGTTTGGTGACACACCTGATGATAGAAAGAAAGAGGCTACCCTGGGGAGGTATAGCTCAATCCCAGAGATGGTTAGGCTGATTGTCCTACTGAGCTCTCCTTTGATGATCCAAAGTGCACTGCACACAGCAACACCATGCTCAATTTAACCTTGGAATCAGATTGGGGGGGGATCTGCATGGTCCGGCAAACATTTCCTCACATATGAGAATTCGGTTTTCGGGAAGTGGACGTTGCTTGATCGTGGACGTTGCTTGACAGGAGATCTAATTATGGCCCTCCCATCCTGCCATCGGTAATTAATGCAACTGTGCACTCTCCAAGTCTTCATCGTCAGGGCACAAGTTGTCATTTCTGAGAGTGTAATCGAACAGGTTAACATCACCTGGAGAACTCTAGGGATCTTCTTGCTGTCCTGGGAGTGAGGGTAAAAAGCCCATCTTGGTTCAGGTTTCCATGACAACCGGGCTATTCTTTCCTTCCTAAGGGATGAGGCTTTTACATTTTCATAACTGTTAAATAACGGTGGAGTAAAGCAAGAGTGTATTGGCTTTCATTCCAAAATGGTACAAAAACATGCAGATGTTGGGTTTTGAGCAGACATTCTCCTAGTTTCAACCAGTTGAAGAGGTTGGGGGTTGAGAAAAGGCTTAATTCATGAACACATGAGATGTCTGGAACAAAGAAGTAGAGCAAATTACATTACAGTAAAGTTCCAGATAACAGTTGGAGCCTCAGTAGGCCCACAATACCAGCAAACCATCAACCCTGGAAAAAATGTTTGTATCTCTGGCTGAATGTTCACCACCGCAAGCAGGAAATGGGTCCACCCTGCTGTGCCCACAAATCAAAAAAATATTTATTCCAAGGAAAGCTACCTACAGGCTGAAAGGTTTCGATTGGGTAAATTACCAGATTGACTCCTGTTTACACCTGTTGGTAATGTGGTGAGGTGGCTTTTTTGTCTTATGTGCTAGCCCATAATCCCACGAGGTGTTGCCTCTTCAGTAACTGACATGTTTTAAATCAAAATGTAATGTTATTGTGGTTTGGTGGCACAGTAGTGCCAACAGTTAAGGGAGGTTGTCTGTGGTGGGAATCAGCGTTTCCCAGCACATTTTTGGTGGGTCGTTCTGTGGGGCACTACTTTCCAGATCTCTGTGCCTCGGTAAGTCCCTGCAGT